TTGTTTAAAGGGTAATTAAATAACAGCGAGGAAAGGATTCCCTTTTAATCTGACGATGGCAGTGCGCGAAAGGTACAGTACTTTTTCATTTATTTTAGAAAGAGAAGGTTAGAGACACAGAACAGCAGTGTGACTCTAATCCTCTCCTTTATTTTATAGAAATCCTAAATTCTTTTCTCTGTGTTGTAGTAGCATGCATGGTCTAACAATACACTAGAGTCTGAGAAATAATTCAATTAAAAAGTCAGAGATGCAGAATAGCAACGTGACTCAAATTCCTCTTTTATTTTATATATACATTAAATTCCTTTCTCTGATATAAACCAGGAGCAACGGTCTAACATAACACCAGAGTCTAATGTTCAAATATAATTAAAAATCTTTTAAGCAATTTCAATTAATTAAATTAATGTGACTAATAATTAATAAGGGCGGAGCTTGTAAATATTAGAACCACTTTGTTAGTTAGCCGCAATTCCTCATATTTCATAAATTCATTTTTAATAATTTCATTATCCAAATTATTTTAATTTTGAAATCTTAGAATAGTTTAAAATGGCATTAAATATGAGCGACAAGAAATACCTTGCCTCCCAAATTCTTCCAGAGGTCGAATTTAGTATTACTTCAATAGGAATTACTCTCTCCAGCTCCCGCCTTTCCACACCACGCTTTGTTCCCTACGACCAAGCTGGTAAATGTCGTGAATGCAAGAGCACAGAGGTTGAGCTCGATTTTGCAATCACCAAGGAGGGAGTAACAACATGGTGTACTCGCTTTTCAGGGAGCCGTTTTGTACCATTTGACAAAATATACGACTTACCTGGTCATTGCTTTTTTAAAATTCGTAATAAAGGAAGAGTCTTTAATATAAATGGCAGTTTTTGCGACGTCAAATGTTGTGAGGAAAATAAGGATATGAAAACAAATATACCCCCACCATCGATTCTTCGTCCTCCTCCAGCAACTACGGCTCTTCCTCCTCCTCCTCCACCACCTTCAGCTCTTCCTGCTCCTTCTCTTAATATCCAAGCTACTCTCTCACCTCCTACGCCTCAAGCTCCAATTACACTCCCTGCTCCTCTTCTTTCACCCCCATTAGCAACTCCACCAGTCTCTCCGCCATTAGAACCACAACCTCCCATACCTCCTACAGTTGAAGAGGGTATACTTAATGAATTCTTTGACAAATTATCGGCTGCTACAACAGGGATCCCAACTCAGGCGCAAAAATTGGAAGCTCTGAAGGAGCAAGCGGTTGAGATGGAAAAAGAAGAGATGGAAGCTATAGCATCGATTCAGTAAATCATTTAAAAAATTTTTCGATTTATTATTTTCAATTAATTGTAATTTTTATTTTCTAAAATTATTGTAATGGATTCCTCAATATTTTCGAATAAAGAACTGAATTTTAAATCGCCTTTTGGTATGATTGTTTCAGGTCCGAGTTCTAGTGGAAAGAGCACTTTTTTATTAAAATTTATTGCTGAAGCAGCTTATTTAGTTGACCCTACACCCAAATCTATATTATACTGCTTTGGTGAAATGAGTAATATTGTACCTCTTCTTCAAAAATCCGGAGTAAGTGTATATGCAGGTGCTCCTCCAGAGGAGCTTATTAAAAAATTTTCAAAACCTTTGCTTCTTATTCTCGACGACTTGCTCACTTCTATAGATGAGAAATATCTGTCTGAGCTCTTTACGAAAAAGTCGCATCATCAAAATTTTTCAGTTGTCTTTGTCACCCAAAATTTATTCGAGAGAAAAATAAAAGTTGCTCGCCAGAATGCTCAATACTTAGTGCTCATGCGCTCTCCAAATTCTGTTTTATCTGTCCGCAATATTGGGGTACAACTCTTTCCTCGTCAATTAGATTATTTCCTTGACGCATATAAACAAGCTACTAAAGAGCCTTATGGATATTTACTTATTGATATGCATGCCTCTTCAGATCCAAGTTTAAAGCTTCGGACAAGCATATTTAAAGAAGACGAAGAAAAAATTATTTTCATTCCTAAAAACGGTTATTAAAATGGTTAGTAATTTAGTAAAAGAAAATATTGAGTTTTTACGAAAGCTTGCTCGAACAAAGTCCCAACGAAAAATTAGGAGACTCTTGAGACTTGCAACTTCACATCATCTTTTGTCTTTAGCAGAAATTTGTCTAAATATAGTCAAGGCAAGATTTAATCTTTCTACGCGTCAAAAGAAACGTCTTTTACCGTATGTAGATTTTGTACGTCGTATGAGCCGTGCCAGGAGCGAGAGAGGAGCTAGAAAAGTTTTAAATCAAAAAGGGAGAGGGTTTGGAATAGGAGCATTTTCAGCGCTCATTACTCCTATTCTTATCGAATTGGCGCGATCATTTACTATAAAAAGCAAAAATTAATTTTAAAATTTAATAATAATAATAATGGCAAATAAATTTGTTTTCGTCCCTCAAGATATTTACAGAGGACTTACAACTTATGATACTGGCGAACCAAATATAGATTTTGCTAGAAGAGAGGTTGAAGGAGCTAAAAGTAAAAAGAATAGGTCTTCAGTAAAAAATATTCATTACAATCAGGAGCTGAGGCGTTATCTAACTATGAGGAATGAACGAGAAAATCGCCCTGTTAAGGTTGAGCTCGTTGCCTCTCCAAAAGGAGCTATCATGAGACAAAATTTAGTCCATCCTTCAACAAATATCAATGAGAACGATGATGATCTGTGGATGAGCGATGATCTTTCATTCTCATCATATCCAACACAACCTCCTAATAGAGCATATAATCTTGTTCCTCCTCCTTCTATTCCATCATCCGAGCAAAATTACGAGGCTCCTCAATTGCCTTCACCTCCTATTTCTCCTACACAACCAAGTACTTCTAAACCTAAATATAATATCAATTCAAAGAAGTTTAGAAATGTTTCAAAAAATATTAAAAAGAGTAAGAAACCAAAGAAGAAAGTAAGGACGAGATATTCTCCCTATATTGAAAATGAGAGCAATACTAATGAAAATACCCCATTAAATCCTCCTACTAATGAAAATATTCCATTAACTCCTTCTCCTCCTATTCCTCTCCAAGCTAAAAAGAGGGAGCATGATTTTAATATTGACGAAGAGTTAAAGAGAGCCAAACCCTCGATTGATAACAAAGAGCTTGAGTTGAAAAAACAAATTGAGCGAGCTCAGAAGAGGAGAGATCTATTACAAAGAAGGAAAGCAGCTCAAGATGTTAAAATACCTCTTGATCATGGAGTAATGCAGCAAATACGTCGTAATGAGGTGGCAAACTTACTGAATAGAGCCAACAAACCTCGTCAACGTCATAGAATAATTAGAGACGGTAGATCTCCCTCACCTCCTAGACCGCGACAACTTTTTAAACGGAAAAGGGAGGGTTCTCCAGAAAGGGAGGAGAAACGAATAAGAAGATCTGTGTCAAAGACCCAATCAGAAAGGGCGGGCCGTTTATGGGCAAAAAACCTTAGTAAAGCTAGACGTAAAGAACAAAAGATTGAACCAGTCCATTCAACAGTTAAAGCTTCATTAGCTGAGAGAGCAATCCGCAATGTTAAACAGCGACTATATCGATATTTTTCTCAAAACATAATACTCAATTGGATTGATGTTTTGCCGAAAATTCTTGAAGGAATCAATAAGTCAAAGTGTAGAGTACATGGGATGCGACCTATTGATGTAAATTTTGAGAATGCTCAAGAGGTATGGAAGAAAATTTATGGAGGGTTTGATTTTACAAAAGGCAAACCAAAGTTCAAGGAAGGAGAAAATGTAAGGATGAGTGTTGGGAAAGGAGCATTTGAAAAAGGGTATATTCCAAATTGGGGCGATGAAATTTTAGAAGTTGATCAGGTGTTTAACCAAGCTAAACCAATTCGATACAAAGTTAGAGATGAGAAAGGTGAAAGATTCAAAGGCTCCTTCTATGGAGAGGAGCTGGCTCGTGTGCGAAAAGATGCAGATACTGAGTACCGAATTGAAAAGGTTTATAGAAAGAGAAAGAGGTCAGATGGAACATATGAGTTGTTAGTAAAATATATAGGATATCCAGAACGAGAATGGATTTCAGAGTCGCAATTAGTATAAAAGACATTCATTTGTTTCATTGTTTATCAATTTATAATTTTTCATCTATTTGTAAAAAATTTTTCTATAAATAAAAATGTCAAATAGTTTCTTTGTATTTCTTGAAAGCAATACTACAGATTACCCAGATAATCAGCCAAATAAATTTCGAGTCCATCTCCCCAAGCCTTTGTATTTTTCAGGTAATTGGGTTTGCGGAGTACATAGTATAAGTTACCCATTCTCTTGGCCATCAACAATTGGTACGCTTGATGAGCAATGGTTGAAAATACATTTTATTGATGAAAATTTGAAGAAAAATGTTCTCCAAGTACCAGTTCCTGCAGCATCTCATAATAGTGTTGAAGCTCTCAGAAATTATTTATCCACAACACTTAAACATCAGTCTGATGCTATAGACTCTGTTGAAAAACCAGGAGCATTTATTCCTCCTCCTTCTCTGCTCTCATCTCCTCCGAGAGCTGAGAGGATTAAACGCTCTGAAGATGAACCGATATCTCCTCCGTTAAAAACTCCTCCACTATACGAGGAAGAAGAAAATAAAGAAAAATCTCCTTCGCCAGAACTAATAACCCCACCCCTATATCTAGAGGACGAGAATAAAGATAAAACTCCTTCTCCAACTAGAGAAGAGCCAAGAACCCCACCACTTTATTTGGAAGAAAAAGAGAAAGAAAAATCTCCAACCCCTTCTACAAGTGAGGATGCGGAGACTCTACCTCCAAAACCAAAGAAAGAAAGAAAAGAGGAGCAAGAGCCAAAGGCAAAAGAAAATGTTTCTCAAAAACCCACTTCTACCGATTTGAGTACCATAAAGCCTGACAAGAAGGAAGAGAAAGTTCACCGCGAAGAACCTGTGACACAAAACCCTCCTGTGCTAAGTAATATAGGAGTGAGTAAAGAGGAAAATAAGAAGGAACAAGAAAAACCTCCGACTCAAAAGCCATCTTCTAACCTCCCGAGTACTAATGGAATAGCTAAAAAGGAAGAGAAAAAGGAGCAAGATAAGCCAACATCTCAAACACGTCCTTCAAGTGCTTTGAGTTCCATAGGGTTAAATAAGAAGGAAGGGAAAAAAGAGCAAGATAAATCGACAACTCAAAAGCCTCCTTCAAGTGTTTTGAGTTCTATAGGGCTAGACAAGAAGGATAAAAAGGAGCAGGAAAAACCATCAGGTGTTTTGACTACTTTAGGATTAGGTAAAAAGGAGGAAGAGAAGCAGAAAACTAAACCATCACCTCCGACTCCTAGAGAGGAATTAAAGTCTCCTCCAAGGTACAAGGAAGATAATAAAACTCCATCACTAAAACCTGAAAAAGAGCAAATTAGTACTACACAAAAACCTCCAGACTCTATTACTCCTAGTGCTGTAGATTTATCAAGAAAGGATGAGAAGAAACCTAAAGAAAATAGTACACAAAAATCATCGGTTTCAAGTAGTGCAGGGTTGGAGAGCAATAAAAAGGAAGAGAAAAAATCCCAAAAACGTCCTGCGAGTGTGTTGGATAGTATAGGCTTAGGGAGCTCGAAAAAAGAGGAGAAAAAAGATGAGCAGAAAATACAAAAACCCCCATCTACCGTTTTGTCTGCACTAGGATTGGCTAAAAAGAAAGACAATATGACACAGACAACACCTCCAGCTTCGCCTACTGTATTAGGAGCTATGGGATTAAATAGGAAGAAGCAATACAATTCAAGAGCTGACAAATTGTTTGAAGTTCTATTTGGTAAAGACTACAAACTGAAGGAAGCAACACCTAATCTTACTCTTTTAAAAAATATAATAGATTCAATTGAATTACAGTATCTCAAGGATTTTTCTCGCTTCAAGGCAGTTTTTAAAAACGAAAGCATATTATCGATTTCTTTCTCCCCTCAACTTGGGTATGTTTTAGGATTTTCTAATCCTAATAATGTTTATAATAATGAAATTGCAAAGTATGGTTGTGATTTAAGAGGAGGGTTCTCAAGTTTTGCCATATATGCCAAAGGATTGACAGAAAACATGATTGTCGGAAATTCCCTCAGCTCTCTTCTTCGAGTTGTCTCTATTTCAGGTGCAGTGCCGGGAGAATACAATGAGAATATTTATGACTCACCCATCTACGCGCGTGTGCTCCCTAGAGAAATTAATGAAATTGAAGTTGAATTAAGAACTATGGATAATGGAAGATTAGTTCCTTTTGCCTTCGGAACAGTTCATATTGTATTAATTTTTAAAAAAGTGATAAACTTTTAATTTCGAATTTCATTTCTATATAAATAGCTCATTTTTAAAATTTACTCATTTTTAGTTTTAAATTAATTAAAAAATGGTTCATATTATTTTTGATACAAGTACGGTATCCTACGATAATTTCCTGCCCAATGATATGATTGGACACGGTATTTCAGACGAATATAATTATTTCAGAGGAGCTCCTCCCTTTCAAAGGGGTTATGGTCAAAGAGGAGCAGGCGTTGGTGATGTGATGCGAGGTCTCTGGCGGTTCATACTCCCTATTATTCAAAGAGTAGGGAGTACTGTATCTGCGGAAGCTCTTAACACAGGACAGAGAGTCTTAGAAAGAGTTAACAAGGGAGAGCCAATAAAAGAAGCATTAGTTAGTGAAGGAAGAAAAGGAATCGATACTGTGTTGGAGAAAGGTGGTCTCCCTAAACAGTTTGGAACAGGAGTAAAAAAGAGTATAAAAAGGAAACGAGAATTAGATAAACTTCATCAAACATTTATTAAAAGGAAAAGATTACGAAAAGACGCTTTTGGTCTATATTAAAAATTATTTAAAATAATTATGGCTTTCCATAAAATTGACGGAGAAAGTATCAATTCTATAACAAATGCTCTCGACTTTTTTAATGTTCCTCCTACAAATGTAAGCATCTCCTCCTCCAAAGTATTTGAAATTCTTCCTAGTAACCCTCTCACAGATACTCCCTACCACTTTAAAATTCATTCGAGTTCAAACTACATTGATTTATCAAAATGTTATTTACTCACTGAATTTCGCATTCGGAAAGAAAATGCCAGTGGTCAACTTGTAAATTTAACCCTAGACGAAAACGTGGCACCAATACAAATGATTGGTAAAACTTTTATTAATAATATGAGAGTTAGTGTAAATGGTCGGGAGATCTTTAATTCAAACTCACTCTACGCATACAAGACCTATTTGTCTCATGAGCTCTCTTACTCAGCAGGAGCAAAGAGCTCTCACTTAAATTCTTCTGGCTATTATTATGAACCTGGAACAAATCAGCAGTTAGGGAGCTCTTTTAACTCAAGGAAAAGTCTATTTACTAATAGTAGAACGGCCCAGTTTGTTTCAAAATTAGACGCAGATATTTTCAATCAACCGCTATATTTAATTAATCATTGTGAGGTTGACATTGAAATTCTACCGAATGATAATAGATTTGTGCTGATAGCTCCTCCCACCCCTCCAGCTCTCGTTCAAGCAACAAATTATCATTTTGAAGTAGTGAGCTGCAAGCTCTATGTTAAAAAAGTTGAGCTCATGGATGGACTAGCTTTAGATATTACAAGAAAACTTGATACAAAACCAGCTCGCTATGCTATTAGAAAGACAATGATGAAACAGTTATTTATAAGCCATGGTCGTTACGAATTTAATTCAAATATATTTATGGATCAAATCCCTAGGAGGATAATTTTAGGTCTCATTTCAAATTCGGATTATGTGGGAACAGTTGAGCGCAGTCCGTTTAATTTCCAACATTTCAATGTCAGAGAAATTAGCGTTATTGCCAATGGGCGCTCTTATCCTCAAGCTCCTTATGATCTCGACTATAGAAATTATAAATATGCGAGAGCTTTTAATGATATGAACGATGCTCTCGGTTTCGCAAATTCATGTGAGAGCAATGGGATTACTTATCAGCAATTTGGCCAAAGTAGCTGTATTTATGTCTTTAATCTTACTAATAGTGGAGATGAACAAGGAGGCTCATTTGATTTAATAAGAAACGGCACGACTGCAGTAAATATTAAATTTAGCCAGGCCGTTCCAGAAGGAGGAGCAATGCTAATTGTAATGGGAGAAGCTGACTCTCTTATTATGCTCGATAAAAACCGAACTATTGCAAGTGATACTACCATTTGATATTATTTTAAATAATTTTGCTTAAAATGAAATTTATAATTTTTACTCTAATTTTTGCTCCTTGCTCCTACTCTTTATTTAAAGATACAGATGTAAATTTGGAAAGTTTACCTGAATATTCAGAGTTTATTAAACAACTTAGACCATCTACTACTTCTTTACCTCTAATAATAGGATTTCCGAATAGAAATTTTCCAACAATACAACTTTGCAAAGAGAGCCCTGGAAATGATCTTTATGGACACATCTTTTGTTGGGGAATGATTGGACTTTATTTTGTGCTCATTTTAAGTCTCATTGTCTATCAACTTCGTTCCTTCTTTTGGGTAATTTTTCAAAGAAAAAGATATAATAATACAGATGTACAGCAGTCAAATAGTGAAAATTTTGAACTCAAACCCCTTAACGAGCCAACTATTTCAGGGATGTTTTCCGTGTGACAGGCCTCCTCCTACAAGGATTACTCGGCTCCCTTCAGTGCTCATCATAAATTTGGACTCGCAAAATTCAGGAGGATCACATTGGATTGCTCTTATATACACAAAAGGAAGAAAAGTGATTTATTTTGATAGTCTAGCTCTCCCTATTAGTAAATGTATTTCAAATCATTTTTTAAAAAATTTTTCTGTTTTAAAAAATGTACATCCCTATCAATCCCCTCTAGCAAAAACTTGCTCTCACCATTGTATTTCCCTTGTATATTTTCTTTCTCTAAATTATTCGTTCCCTCAATTTATTAAATTGTTAGACTCTCAACCTAACCCTGATTTGTTTGTGACAAAAATTGTATATAAATTAATTAATCGATAAAATTTGAATTTAGCTTGGCTTGTTTCATTAAGGAATTGTATTTCATAAATAGTGGGAGGTTATGGTATATAGAGCTATGAGGAGGGCTACTTTGCGTGAGCTCTCAAAAAAAGGAGATATAGGAGGAGCGCTTGCGCTCATTCTCCAATAATTTACATAAATAATATTCCTCCTAAATCTTTTTTTTGCTCATTTTTTACTTAATTTTTAATACTTTATTTTCCAGAACTTTAGAAACTAGCTAAAATAATAATTATGGAGCAAACCTTCGCCAGCTTTTTAAATATTAAGGATATGGAGCAAGAGGTAATTTTAAAAAATCTTAAATTTTTCAAGGAAATTTTTAGGGAGCTAAGCCATTTTTCGCTCATACTTTCGCTTCTCCGACTGAAATGCCTCAAAATGCTGTTGAGCAAAGAGTTTTGGAGGTAAATGTTTCGAAAAAATCAAAGTTAACTTAAATTATTTAGGGAGAGGCTGAATTTTGAGACTGCTCTTGGCATCCATTGACAAAGAAAGTCAACGAAATGCTTAAAAATGGTGAAAAATTGGACTACTCAACGTTTTTAGGATTTCTGGATCATAACTACGAGCTCTCAACCTGGTGTAATCAATGCTTTGAGACGATATTTGGCATGAAACAAGAAGAAATTATAAAAATTGAAGGAAATAAGTACACTTATAAATTTTTTGTTTGTAAAGACTGCGCCCAAATTATTAAATATGCCACTTTTCATTTCTAAATTATTTTTGTTTGGTCCCTTTAATCCATTTTCTATTATAAAATTGTTTTAACTAACAAATAAAATTTGAATTTTACTTTGCTTCTTTTTTTAGATAGGAAAAATTTTCCCTCAAAAACACCATCTGTCGTTTTTTAAAGAACGGCATTCCATGAAAGGAAAAAATGTAAGTGTAACTGCGCGGGACTGGTAGAAAGAGAGAAAAGAAGATAGGGGAGGGGACTGGTTGTGGCAACTTTTCCCGTGTTGTTCTTTTCTTTCATTATTGTAATCGATATCCAAAAAGAATATTTTTTTGGTTTGTTTATCCTTTTAATTTTTATAAAATTATGCCATCCTCCATCCTTAATAAATTTTAATCTTTTTAATTCAAATTATCATAGACGTTTATCTTGTCAAATTTAAATCATTATCTGATTATCATTTAATCTTTTAAAATTTTTTAGTTTTTTAGCTAAACTTAACATTTTTCAAATAATAAAAAATTATATTTTTTAAAATAATATTATTTATTAGTATTTTTCCTCATTGCTCTCTTTGTCTTTGCTGATTAACTTTTGCTCCGTATCCCTTGCTCCTCATATTTTATCATTATTTTAACTATATAATCAAATATTATTTTTAAATTAATTTTTAATACGTTGCTCCTTACTCTTATCTTTTATTTCACAATAAAAATTTACATTTATTTAAAATAAATTTTTCTATTGCTTTCCATTTCCCAATTGCTCTTAGTTTTCAATTCTATACATAATTGCTCCTCATTTTTTTGATACCTAATTTAAACTTTTTAATTAAAAATATCTTGTTTTTAGGAAAGAAATATTATCAGGTGGGTAATTTATAAAGTTTTAGAATTTAATTTGATAAAAATTTTCTACTCTTTTAAACATTGCTCTATTTATT